ATATTATTATTTATAAGTTAACGATATAAAATACTTTGAATATATCTTCATATTTATATTTATAAGTTTGTGTATATATTATATATATATATTTCATATTTATCAATATTTTATTAAACACGCAGTTGAATTTACAATTTTAAAATTTATTTAAATCATTAACAAGCGTATTATATGAAACGAGTAAAATGGGTCGATTTTTTATTAATTAGACAATGAAAACTGACATGCAGAAATCTTTTAAAGTTATCACTCGCATTAACTACATTTGGTTAAAAATATTTTTTAACCCACTTTACCGTACAGTTTTAAAAATTTTACAGCGATTAAAAACTGGTAATTTAGAAAAAAAAATTGGTACACTTTCCAATTTGTACAATGAAGAAAAATGTATTAATTGTTAATAAATTTATTTTTTTGCAAACAATTCGATTATTTATAAAATATTCACTGAAAAAAAAATTAACTTGATTTAAAAGAAGAATTCTTGAATCAAAAAAAATTTGTTCAAATTAAAAAAAATTTTTTTAATTCAAAAATTTTATTACAAAATCAAGACGATAAATCTCTTGAAAATTATTTTTTTGGTTTAAAAATTTTTTTCTATGATCGAGTCAATTTTTTTTCTCACTGTAACTAAATTTTTTTTTCTCAAGAAATTCATTTATTAAAAATTAGTAAATATTTATTAACTGTTAACAAATAGTTTTTTAATTAACAAATATTCATTTTTAATTCATTAATTGTGTTTAATAAAAGATTTATTAATTGTCAATAAATATTTATTAATTTATTCAACAGTTAATAAAGATTTCCAAACATTGAAAAATTTCTCTATGAGTGCATTAAAAAAAAAAAAAAAAAAACGTTGGCTGGGATTCGAACCCTGAACCTCCTGATAATTTTTAAGTAAACTTAAGTACCCAAATTTAAGAATTCTAACTGCGAGAACTGTAGCCGCCTGGCGGAGACTTTTTAACTAACTTTTTTATCCAATTTATTACAATAAATGAAATTAACAGACATCTGACAGTTCTGAGAATTTTTGTACCCAATCAATTATCATAAAAAAAATATTGAAAAAAATTCGAACTTTTAATTTTTTTTTAATTTCTACATATGTAATTTTTTGCTAAAATTTTTTCATTATAATTATATATCTGTTAAAATCTGTGTCATAATTTATTCTAAATATTTCAATTTATTTTTTAACACACTGATAAAACAATTTATCTTAAAAAATTACAAGGAACATTAAAAATAAAATATGTTAATTATACAGACACAAACTAAGCCCTCAATGATATTTTCAATAACATCCATTGAAAAAAAATAGTCCTTTAAACGGGCACCGATTTCTTCGGGAGTACCGAAAATATTGAGGTAGGAAAGTTGTTAGGGCGTCGTAGAGTTTCTCACAGTGGCGACATTCAAGTATATATTGTATATTATATATATTCCATATCTATAACATTACATAACTATTTATATTTATTTATAGTATAATAATAATAATCATAATTCATAATTAATAATTAATTGTAAACGACAGATTTCCAATAGAATATTGTACGCATTTATCTAAGGAGCTTATTATACCGATGGGATAGTCGAAGAAGACGCCCTCAAAATAACCGATCAACCAAACTTTGTATTGATGTACAGCTACGTGAAGCCAAATTTACTCTTTTAGGTTATAAATTATTAACCCTTCAGTATCTTCGTTATTTGTCTCACCTTCTTTACTTTCGCCATATCAGAAAAAAATCTCACATTTAATTAACATACGATCTAAACATATATGTTGACGGAGCGCTTACCGAAAAGAGCCGATCTAAGTAGAGAGTCGAACAGCTCGATTTTTAATAACCTTTAATACCCTCACCATGAGAAAAAATCTCATGTCCTCCAAAAATCATTTTTTTTTTCATTATATCTTAACAAACTTAATACGTTTTTATTGCAAAAATTTTAAGAATATAAAGCTATAGTGAGATAAAAAAAATTTTCAAGTAGTCTTTCCATTTGAATTTATAGAAATTATTGAGATTGAAACCGAGCTTGAGTAAAAATCTCATAGTGCGGGTACTAAAGGGTTAATTATTAATTTATGAGCTTATTATTAAGTAACTAAGCACTGTCTATAGTTAATAAAGTTATAAATATTCAGCGGAAGAGTATCAACAGTTGATACCGAGTACCAATAAATATTATATATTATTATATACCAACAATTTTAATACTTTTGTTTTCATACTGACGATAACATGATTATCAGTAGATGTTGAGAATTTTATGTCTGATAAGATTTTTCAAACGTTAGTTCTTGGTTTCGCCGCTAGGTGGCCTACGGCTCTCGCTTCCAGAAAAATCTTACCAGAGTATACATGTGGGCGGCGTAAAAAAATGACTATTTTTTATCATCGAGTGTTCTATCAAAATATGTTAGTTTATAATGTTTTCAGAGCCCTCGAAAAAAATCAGCTTGACAAACAATTATTTTAGGGCTCGCTCATGATTTTTCAAACTTTTTAAGTAGAGTACTTATTTAAATATTCAAATTTATTTAAATAAACCCATTTAAATTTAAAAATATTTATTCAGAATCTGAAGAAAGTTTAATAAATCTTTAGCGGCTTCTATAAATAAAAATTTTTCGACTTTTAATTATTAGAATGTACATCATTTTTAACCTACTAAATAATAATCTGACAATAAAAAATATTGAAAGCCGAAAATTCAATTTTTAACATGAGCTTTAAAAAATCTTTCGTAACCTCTAAAAAATTTTTTACCGTTCTGATTTTTGGAGGAAACTTTCAACACATATTTCTATAGAAAACTCGAAGGATAAAAATTATCAAATTTTTTGGCCAAAATAAATACTAAAGATAACATTTTTTTTTCTTTTAACTGTTTAACAGTCAAATTGCCGGAAATTTTAGTATTTTTACTTAAAAATATACACACATATACTAAATATAGGTTATAGTACAACCAAAAAAGGTATGGAAGAGAAACAGCGAAACATGGGTTAATTTAATTAGCTCTTAGTATCAAATATATAGTTCGAGTCTTATTTCTTCGGCATTGATGTAATATATGATATAATTATCTTGATTACGTCGACGGATATGTAATTATAATTATAATTTTAATTAATAATTATACGGTAATTGTTTACATAATTTAGAACTTGTTAAGAACCACGCGCAGGCTTGATGTCATCTTACAGATGTTCTTGGTTCAAAAATTCAATTTAATTTGATTAATATTTATAATATGTATAAATAACAACAAACTAAATCTTTTATATTTTTTTAAATATTCACACATTTTATTTAGAATCCTATAGCTGAAAGTTAAAAAAAAACTAAGGATACAATTTTCCAAAAGATTCTTTTGGTGATAACTGATTTTTGTGTAAAAACTGGCCCCATTACCTATTGATATAGCACAATGAAGGCAAAACAAATTAATAACATCTGTAATTTGATAACAGAAAGCCTTTTTGTTCGCTGCTGAGTGGTTTGATAATCGTTTTATACACTGATAGAAGAACTTATTGATTGTTAATAGATTAATTCATTCACTTATAAATTGTAAATATTTTTTAACTATTAATAAAAAATTTTTTGAGTATCAGTACATTTATTATAAATTTTTTTTATTTGAAAATAATCAATGATTCAGATCTAATAGAATTATCTAGTGAAGTTATGGGGTTGTAAAAAGTCTCAAAGTTTGTCTACTTGCTTTTTATTCAAGAAGGAAGAACCAAAAGGGCGTATACAAAATTTTCTTTTTTTTTTAATCAATTTAGAAATGTATAAAAGTAAAAATCTAGTTGAAAAATGCAAAAAAAAATTTTTTGTCATATTCGCACCAAAAGTTCTACTTTTGAGCGCTGGGCGTCCATAAAGGGACTCTTTTCTAGAGACGTTACCATACCGTCTTTTTTTTTACAGCCTAGGCGGTGAAGTTTACCTTCCCCTTATTTTTACGGACTTTTCGTGTACACTCAGACGGAATTGATAAAGATTGTAAAAAAAAAGTCACATTCTAATGTAGCGATCAATGATTTTGAGTAAATTTTAAACTTAGTTACTATTGAGTGGCACTAATTATTTCTCTGCTGTTAGTTTGTTACGAAGCAGACCTAATGTTAATAATATAACAACTACACAATAAATAAATTTTAATAAAAAGATAATTAATATAAAATTAAGTTTTTTTTCCCTTGTTAAACTTCATAAAATTTAAATATGTCATTATTTGCCTCCTATCCCTCAAAAGTTAAACTTATGGAGCGATAATGACAAAAAATATTGTATGTCATTTGACTGTTTAGTGGCGATTTTAATAAAGACTTTTTTCCGATATTCGCTTTAATGTTTGTGCCATAAACCTTAAGCTCATATCGAAATATCGTCCCTGTCAGAGAACCGCTACTTTACGGTCTTATTACATAAATATCTATTTTTTGTGTTTTTCAACCAGATTTTTACTTCAAAATACATTCTCAAGTTGACTGGAAAAAAAAAAAAATTTTTATTTCTACGCTCTTTCGGTTTTGCAAAGCCAAAAGAACGGCTATTTTAAGATACACCCTTTTCGAATTAGTAACGTGATTTAATAACAAGTAATAAATCTTATCAAAAGTTAACAAATCCTTCTATCAGTTAATTAAACCCAAAAAAAAATTCAAAATTTGTGAGTTTTATAAAGCCAAACAAGATCGGGCCGTCCATCCTGCTTGATAACCAATCTTATGTAGAGTCCAGTCGTCCTATCAAGATTTCCGTCATCTTCAATGAAGTTTTCCTGCCTGGTTAGGATCATTGTCGACGTCATTAAGTCCTGGTAGTTGTCCTGTATACTATCATTGATGAGATTGATCTGCGGTTCGATTTTAACCCCACTGTCCTGTTCCTGTTCCTGCTGATAACTGTTAACTGAAAGATTATTGTTCTCCTGATCATGCTCCAGGTCCAGAGAAATGTCCTTAACCTCCTGGATTTGCTCGAACTCGGGCTGCTGCTCCTCAGGCATGGTCGGAGCCGGAGACTGGACTACTACCTGGATGTCAGACTCAATGACCGCGGTGGTCATCGGAAGAAGCGCTGGTGGAGGCAGCCCGGAACTCGCAAGAGCGTCGAGCTTATTCACGGAGGACGAGTCCGTGACGGTCGCTACTGGGGCGACCGGGGCCGTAGGTTAGTTGCTGCCCGAATTCTGCTTCTGATCCGATCCGACGTCGCTTCCACAGGAGCTCAGAGTCGTGTTGCTCCCGTATGGATCCAAAGAAGATTGCACAGACATGCTTCGTCCGTGCTTCCTCACTCTGTAAGGAGACAGCTTTCCGACGTCGACACTGGAGGGGTCTGCCTGCAACAATTCTCTTGTCAATACCAATTTTTTTAAAAATATTTTTAGTAGTTTCCCCAAAAATCGGGTCTGGACATCCGGAATTTTAATGTGCAAATGTACGGAAGCTCTAGAACTCGAAAAATATTGGAGGTAAAGACTTGGATTTTTTTTTTTTTTTGAAGGACACACAAAAAAAAAGTATTTTTATACTTAGAATATTTTTTTTGATAATCAAAAAAATTGGTGTTGTGTTACTTAGAAAACGTGATATTTTGATGATCACAATAAGTTTACTGAATATCACAAAACCTATAAGTATACTGATTATCATTAAACTTTAATTTACTATAGTCAGATGAATAAACAGACAATTAGATGTTTATAACCTCACTTTGCCGATATAAATCAATTTACTTATAAAACTAATAAAAAAATTAAAATTAAAAGTATAACAATAAATTTTTTTTTAAGTTAACATCAAAAATAATAAGTGAATTTTATTTTTATCAATGCGTAAATCAAATGAATTGACCAACAGTTTTAAAACGTCGACGGCAGTGACAACACATATACACGGAGAGAAAAAAAGAATAGAACTTATTCCTATGTAGAATGGTAAGCATTACCATGTTACATAGTAATGGAAATTTTTGTGAGAACCCCGTGTAAATTTGCTAATAAAAATCTTAGAAATTGTGATAAAAATATGAACAATCACTCATTCGATGCGGAATTAAATTCTGAATATAATGGTGTTGTTTTTTTAATTGTTTGATAAAAATTTCAATTTGTTATTAACAAAAAACATAACCATAATAAAAAATTCAGATTCAGATTCATTTTATTTATGCCAAAGCCTGCTGGCCAGATGGCAAGTTTTACAAAAGTACAAAATTTTATAATACAATAAAAAGAAAATTATACACAATGATTGTAAACTTATAAAAAAAAAAAAATTTGAAACTCTCTAAACTCACAGCTTCAATGATTTCTGCCGGTAATTCTTCCCACAAACGAATAACTGTAACGACAAATGAACATTCATACTGTGTCGTTGTAAAATTAGGTAATTTAAAATTAATCTTATTTTTCTTAGCTGCTAATCTCTCTGAACGTCTTACATCATTATCTTCGATAAATAAATCTCGCAGATATATCGGTTTTCCAATGTTTAACAATTTGAAAAAGTAACATGCAGCAAAGTATAACCGACGACTCTTAATGGACAGCCAACCAAGTTCACGCCTGTAGGGGGTGACATGCTCATCACGTTTCAAGCTGAAGATAAAGCGTATTGCTGAGTTTAGAGAGCGTTGGAGTTTGCGATCATTATCAAATGTAGAATTCATTAAGACTATCGAGCAATAATCAATTAGAGGTAGTATAGTTGCTGAGACTAAAAGTTTTTTAATATTAGGAGTATAAATATTCTTACGTAATTTTAAACTATACAATGATGAATTTATTTTACTGATACTCTTGGATATATGAAGATTCCACGATAAATTACACGATAAATGGAGACCGAGGCACTTAGCAGACTCAGTAAAAGGTAGAGCCACTCCGTCGATAATGATGGGAGGTAAACCTTCTCGTTGCAATGCTTTTACCCTACTATTCGTTCCTAGAAGCATAGCCTTTGTTTTTAAAAGATTAATTTCTAATCCGTTGTCTCTGGCCCAATTCATGACAGCTTGGGCATCAGCATTTATCCGAGCTGACGCTTCTTCCAATTGATACGAGTAAAAGTGAATATATATATACGTATCATCTGCAAATAAGCCATACCGACTGAATACAATATGCTTGGTGACTAGATTTATGACTATCAGAAATAAAATAGGTCCAAGAACCGAGCCTTGCGGCACACCCGACGTAGTTTTTAAGAATCCGACAGGAAACCCCCGTTCATCTATCACAGACTGACTTCTATTCGTAAGATAAGAAAAGAACCACTTTATCGTTTCAGCAGAAAAGCCTAGTTCAACCAGTGCCCTCAAAATAACTTTTGGATCCACGAAGTCAAAGGCTTTAGTTAAATCAAATAGCACTAAAAGTGTCAGCTTATTATCATCCATTGCCTTACTAACGTCATCTACAAGTTTTAACAAAGCTGGTTGCGTACCATGGAACTTTCTAAATCCAGACTGATACTTATCAATTAAGTCATTGCTCTCAAGATAATTCATTACTTGATTGGCTATAAGTCGTTCGAATACTTTACTAAGATGCGCAGTATTGGCTATTGGACGCGTATCAGACAGCGAACGTGGTGGAGTTATTTTATTTAAAGGAATTATATAGATCATCTTCCAATTTTCAGGAAATATGCCAGTTTCAAGCGACCTGTTAAAGAGAGCTGTCAAATAAATGGTAATCTGAGGGACGTTGTTTCTTAACCATTTAAGGTCCAAGCCATCAGGACCCTTCCCTTTAGACTTACTAAGAGTTATATGTAATGCTTTGGTGACATCTACTATGTCAATCTTAGACCAAGTAAAGGAACACGTAACTTGACTTTGATGTGAATATTCTAGAGAATCGATCCAATCAGGATCACATGAGGGATGTCGTCTTACTATATTCGCGAAATGATCATTTAAATCAGAAGCATCAAAATAGCTCAAAGGAGATGAAGCAGATTTTTTTACTAAGCCTAAATGTTTCAGTTTACTCCAGGCATTTGTTCCTTGAGGAAGATTGCTAAGTACATTCTTCAAGTAATTTTCACGCGCACGATTTAGCTCTACTTTTAGTTCTTTTCTAAGTACTCTGTACTGTCGCAAGATCTCAATATTTTTACTCCTTTTCGCACGCTTGTACAACGAGTCACGTTTTTTGCATTTTAATTTTAGCTCTCTTGTAACCCACGGGTTTGACGCCCGTACAATTTTACGCGACCGTAGAGGTGCAAACTCATCAAGTGCATTTAAAATATTAGTCTGAAATAAGTGTAACAGAGTATTGGGATCCAGGCTTTCTAATAGCTCTCTGTCAATATTAAGCGACTGGAAAATAGTGTTACTCAAGACCTCAGAATTTAACTCAGAGAAACTCCTGAAAGTTACAATTTTATCAATTTTATTCGGGCTATCGAACATATAATCACATACCAAATAATCATGTCCATTAATAAATGGCTGCTTGGACTTATAATAGCTGTTTAATTTACATTGATTGTCAAGTAAGACAACATCAAGCCAAGAGTCTCTATTGTTTGAGTGGTGAGTAGCCTGATATGAAACACAATATAAAGATAATTCAGATATAAATGATTTTAAATGTTTTGAGATATACGTTGACTCTAAAAGATCGCAATTTAAATCACCCGTAATGATCAGATTCTTGTAGTTTGTCATAAGTTTCGAAATAATATCAAAGAAATCATTTAATAGGTTACCCTGCGGCCTTCGATAAATTACTGATAATAAGAGATGATTACCAGTGCCAGAAACTACATCTAGGATTAAATACTCAGGTTGATTTACGTGGTCTGAAACAGATATATGAATTAACTTAGCTTTTAATGTCTTATGAACCAAGCAAGCCACACCACCACCCATAACTGATCGACCAGTTTCAGGATGAGTCAAATTACGGTCTCTCCTAAATATCGTGTAATTATCAAGACTAAACACTGAATCATCATGCACTAATTTCAACCAAGTTTCCGTCAGTGCTATGATGTGAGGCTCAGTCTCAGCAACTAGATCCAGAAATTGCGCAACGTGCCCATTAAAACTGTTTATATTAAAACTTAATAATCTAAGAGACATGGACATATTTAGAATTATTGGTTAAATCAACATGATGCTATTCTAGTTTATCTAAGTCAGCTACACAGCATATTTTACTTTTTATAGATTCATCATCTTTCCTTACAAAAATAGACCCACTCTGCACCCAGACATACTTAAAATTTAAATTCTTTATTTTGGCTTTAGTACTCAGTAATAGTTTGTGAGTTTCCGGTGACAAAAACTCATTGATAAAGATATTTCCCTTGAAGGAATTTTCAACAATCTCTGGAAAGACATCTTTCACAAAGAGATTTCTTAACTTTCTTTTAACATCTATAATATGATCACGAACTTGAGGTGACTTCATCTTGACAATATATGAGTGCAGAATAGGTCCATTTTTTACATTATTTATATCATTATTACGGTTATCAATAACATTACCACTAAGTTTGTGCTTTCTTTCTATTCTGCGAATAGATAGAATGTCAGCTTTTAAATCATTTACATTTAGAACTACAAAAACACTAGACACAATCTCCGATGATGACAGAGTTTCAGCAACACATTCAGGAACGCCGGTGATTACTAGCTCAGATGTTTCTCTTTGAAATGATGTCGAGGTTGAAGCCTCCTGATTTGTAATCGAATTTGATTTGATCGAGACAATTTGGCTAGCTAAAGACTCTGATTTTTTCGTGTTTGAAACAGTGTCTTCTTTGAGCTTTTCCAAATCAGCAGTTAGTTTGGAGATTTTATCCGTATTGGATACGACAGTTGTATTTAGCTTTGATAATTCTCCCGTGGTCACAGACTGCTCATTTTGCAGTTTATCCAGACGCTTACCAAAGTCATCGATTTTAGTTGATAAAGACTTGAACTCAAAAGTAAGAAATGGAATTTGAGCCACTGATTGCATGACTAAAGTCAATTTATCATCAGTGGACAATACTGCCCAATTTTCAGGAAGTGAACCACTGACTGATGCATCAGTAGCAGTAGTTTTAGTAGGCTCAGCTTCACCTGAGTTCATTGTTGTCACTGATGAAGTTTCAGCTCTAGGGAAGCTTATTAAATCGACGATGGGAGGCTCCAAATACGGAGAGATGACTGGGGGAGTTTCACTCAAGTTCTGATTAGGACCACGCTCTTGAGTAGTTGTATGCGATGAATCACCCAATTTAGGACTAGAAGTAGATAAGTTTTTTGTACCTGCTGATCTTAGGGACCCAAGACGAGTCTTAATTATATTGGGTTTAATTTTGCCATTATTAATTAAACTATTGGCTTTATTACTGTTGTTAATATTAGTACTATCAGTAATACTATTTACTGGTTCTAAGAGGTAGCCAAACTTCAATCTGCAACAATCATCCTTGGATTTTGACTTAATATAATCACATGCACAACTTCTATGAAATGCTTTGCTACATTTATCACAGGTGAACGGTGTCTTAAGCGAGCTTTTGCATCTACAACAGGTATCATACAGCAATGACATGTCAAATTAATCTACACATAAAGAATAACATGTATATGTGTATATATAACTAGGATTAGAGTCAACTGTGATTTTCCTCACAAAAAGATTAGGTCAGCTGATATATGTAAACAAGCACCAGAGCTGTTTGAAACGTGGCTACCGATGGAGACAACAGAATGTACAGCTGAGTAAGACACATACACTAACGCACTGTCACGAGCTATATACAGAGATTCTACTTGCACATACAAGAACCATCAAAGAAGAGAATGCATTGATGCGCCAGATGGATGCGCAGTGGTATAACATAACTTAACCATCAAATAATTTCTGATAAACTTAAAGTTTTTAAAATATCTAAATTCACTCTTAAACACTAGCAACCTTATTAACTTTATATATTGATTTAAAGCACAAAATTTTGTGCTCACGATAATACCAAAATCAAAATTTAGAATCAATATTTGACTGATAAAGTTGGAGATTTTCTGGAGCAGTAATTATGCGATGTTTACGTTTACTATGCTTATTATTGAAGAAGAAAGAAAAATCTTAGTTTTTTGTAAATAACTCAATAACTATTGGTGATATTAAAAATCGGAAAAAAGATCCTTGAAGAGGAGGAAATTTCTGAAAAAAAGTCTTGACTCCCGGAACTGTAGCTTAAAAAACAATAATTTTTAATTAATGTTGAAAATAAGGTTCCGCACAACTGCCGTCGTATTTTAGCGTCGGCGCGGTCGTGTGACAAAAGTCGCGCGGAACCCTATTTTCAACATTAAATAAAAATTATTGTTTCTCAAGCTAGAGTTCCGGGAGTCGAGACTTTTTTTCAGAATGTTGTGTTATGTTTTTTGTTAATAACAAATTGAAATTTTTATCAAAAAAATAAAAAAACAACACCATTATATTCAGAATTTAATTCCGCATCGAATGAGTGATTGTTCATATTTTTATCACAATTTCTAAGATTTTTATTAGCAAATTTACACGGGGTTCTCACAAAAATTTCCGTTACTATGTAACATGGTAATGCTTACCATTCTACATAGGAATAAGTTCTATTCTTTTCTCTCCGTGTACTATAGTATTACTGCGCTGAGTATAGGTCTTGAACTGACTTAAATTTTGATAATCGCAATACTTATTTTGATAATAAGAATACTTATTTGATTAAACTTTGTATTCTGATTATCAAAATACTTTTTTTTCAGAGTACTTGTCTGCAAGTAGCCTTTCATCATTTTTAATTGTTATTTTGATAAAAAGCAACTCAACAAATTATATCAGTAAATAAATTATTTTACGCACCTGATAAGCGAGAGAATTCATAATAGTAGTGTTGGGAACCAGCCCCAGAGGGTGAACTTCTTTCATCAACATGGTAGCCGGGATTTTATGGAATTGGATGTACTCGAGGAAATTACCGATTACGTCGGGTAATGGCAGACCTGGATTACTATCGCAGTATTTCTTACTCCACATCAATGCTGCCTATAATTGATAATTATGGCTTGAAAATGTGAATTGGTATTTGAGATTTGATATAGAATATCGGACTAATTAGTCAGGTATAAAAAACCGAATATTTTTAGAAATTATTTCTTGGTTTCGCCACTAGGTGGCCTACAGCTCTCGCTTTCAGAGAAATCTTACGAGAGTATATATTAGAGCGGCGCAAAATAACCCAATATTTTTCATCTTCGAGTTTACTATTAAAATATGTAAGTTTATAATGTTTTGAGAGCCTTCAACAAAAATCAGCTCGATAAAAAATTGTTTTAGGGATTGTTCAAAATTTTTTAAACTTTCAAAGTAGAGTACTTTAATCTTTTCTCTTAATTTGTAAATATCAAAATCGATAAACTTTAAATTTTGTTTTTATCAAGTTAATACACTAAACAATATAAATAAACCACTAAATAAATAAATAAGAATTTGACGAAACAATTATTACTACTGTACTGTTAATTTAAAAATATTTATCCGGCATCTAAATAATGTTTTGAAAATCTTTAGTTACTTCTATAAATAAAATTTCCGACTTTTAATTTTCAGAATGCACATCATTTTTAACCTACTTAATAATAATCTGACAATAAATATTAAAAGCTGAAAATTCAATTTTTGATATGAACTTTTAAAGATCTTAATCAGAACCTAAAAATTTTTTGCCTCGCCGATTTTTGGAGAAAACAATTAAAACATTATAAACTTACACGGAAAAAAGTAAACTGTAATAAATAACAGTCGATTTATAATAAGTAATGATCAACTGCTAAAAATTATCATTTCAAACAGTAAAATCGTGATTTTACTATTCACTTTATAATATTTACCATTTAAACGTTACAATTTACTCTTTACATGGAAGAAAATACTATTTTAAACAGTAATATTCGCTATGTAAATGTCTAAAATGTTAAAGTATAATAATTAAGAATTCAAACTGTGATATTTATCATTTCGTATCTAAAAAATGATCTTATGATATGTAAAAAATATAAAATAAAGTTAGTAAATTTCTAATACAAGCAACGTCAATATTTACAAAGTAAAATGGTAAATTTTAAACGCAACTCTAAAAATCAAACTGTAATTATTGACTTGCTTGGACTGGTAAAATGTATATTTTAAAAGTATAATTTTTACTGTTTCAAATGTTAAATTCTCCCAGAGTGAGACCCCCATCTCTTTCATCTGAGTTCCCCTTCTCTTCATAATATGGACTATATATTGAAATGGCAATTTTTTACTGTTTTGAAACTGTAATTTTTTTAAGATAAAAAGAGTCGTTATTTACTATAGTGACAGCTACTAATTACTTATTTTAGATATTAAATTATAAATTGTGGCTTTTATACTTTCTACATTAAGTTCTGTAATATTTATATGTTTGCCACCCCGATGTCCGCTATTCTCCCAGAGTGAGACCCCCATCTCTTTCATCTGAGTTCCCCTTCTCTTCATAATATGGACTATATATTGAAATGGCAATTTTTACTGTTTGAAACTGTAATTTTTTAAGATAAAAAAGTCGTTATTTACTATAGTGACAGCTACTAATTACTTATTTTAGATATTAAATTATAAATTGTGGCTTTTATACTTTCTACATTAAGTTCTGTAATATTTATATTTTTGCCACCCTTTGAAACCCTGATGTCCACTTTACTGTTTGAAACTATAAAAATTAACCGGAATCCGAGTGAATATTACAGTTTACTTTTTTCCGTGTACATATTTAAATTTTAAAGGAAACTCGAAAAATCAAAATTCTCGGATTATTTGCATCAATCTTATAACAATAATGATAATAATAATTTTTATTGATAATAACCTGGAATTTAGTGAATTCATCAGCTCGCAATTCTTCACGGGCTAAGATTAATCTTACAACATGTTGAGGCAATAGTGTAAATGATCCAAGATTTAATACTTCATTTCCATGCTCGTCTACGAATTCTAAGACCTGGAATGATAAAACTATATTAATATTTAATTGAAAAAAATTTTTTTTTCTCCAATATTTATACATGTTAATTCTTATTCAATTTATCCCAACATAAAATTGAGATGGAATATATATGCAGCCAATTTATTCGTAATGTGATTGGTCAAATATATCATAAGCATAAAAATATATGCAAACTCTATATTCAGGTGCACGCTTACGCGCGCATATTAAATTCTAGTTATAAGTAATTTCACATTAATTGTTTTATAATAAAAAAAAATAATAATAATAATAATAATAATAACCTTTTGTACGAGCGACTTTGTACATTTATATTGAATATATCGTTCAGCAGAAGCTAAAAGCGCACAGACAGTATCAACAGTAATGCAGCATTGTACAAAACCAGCGCAAGCTTTTCTCAATTCGTCCAACCCGTAATAATCAGCAGCATTCATCACTCCTAAAAAATAAATAAAACAATTAATCTTATTCATATTATTATCAATTATTATTTATTATTTTACCATAACTTTCTTTAATAAAACCTACCTAACAGAGTTCTAGGCTGCAGAGTGACAGATCCCGTGTGAATATACTCTATGAGCTGCCTGAATACATCCGGCTCAAACTCCTCAATAATCAACGTGTGATGCTGGTTCGATTGTAGCTAAACAAATAAATTACAAGGACCATTAATTTATTTATGTCATCTGAAGTTGTTAATCAAACGCTTCAATCTAATCCATACAAGTCGTGCTAAGCAACTAATCCAATTTCTTCAACCAAAACTTCTTATTATTCCTAAATAAAATAAAAAAAAAGACCCACAGTCCCAAAGTGGATTAATCAATCAATTTTTTATCACTCAAAATTTTTAGATCAACAATTTTTAATAGAAAATGCACTAGATCTAAATAGTAGAAGTTTATACACGGAAAAAAATTTCTGGGAAAATTTACGATACAACTATTGTAAAGCTGGACTATACTTTTATTGCTATTAATTGTCAAATATTTTAGAAGAAAATTTACCATTTATTCACGAAATTTTACAACTCACTATCGTAATTTCACCAAATAATTATTGTATTAAATTCGATTAAAAAAAATAAGATATTACTATTGTAAAAAGTAAGAGATTAAAATTTCCAGTGCTATCTCTGTATCTTTCCAATAGAAGTAAAACAAATGCGAACAAAAACAGTTTCACTGTAAAAAAAATCGCGCCAAGTCCACGTTCATAAGACTATTAAGAAAAAAAAATTTTATTTCTTTACAAAAAGATATAAAATAAAAAATTTAAAAAATCCAAAGTAACCGATATGGTTGTATATGATTTTCGGAAATTAAAAAAAACTTTTTTGTAAATTTAAAAATTAAAAGAAACAATTATGGAACGTATTTAGTGTGCGTGGTTATGAAATATTTCATTTTTTATGAAATTCCTAAAATCTATCTACTAGGACTTTTAAAAAAAAATTGAAATACACAATGACGCACACCAAGTACGTTCCAAAATTGTTTTTTTAATTTTTAAATTTACAAAAAAATTTTTTTAATTTCCGAAAATCATATACAACCATATCGGTTACTTGGATTTTGTTATTTTATATCTTTTTGTAAAGAAAAAAACTAATTTTTTTTTCTTAATAGTCTTATGAACGTGAACTTGGCGCGATTTTTTTTACAGTGAAACTGTTTTTGATCGGATTCCTCGTGTACATAACACGTGATGTGAGTTCATGAGACTCAATTAGAATTATATTTTTTTCGGAATTGACTGTACGAATGTGTTTGTATTTTTAAACTAGCATCACGTGGGGATGTCACGTGGCTGCATTCTGGTGGAGGCTAAAAGTCGTTACGATGTGTCGATGTAGATCCTACTGTTACTAGGTAATCGGGAGATGGTTCTATCTAGAGAAATTATCATATTTTTCGCATTATTTCTGATTTGTATCTTTAAGGTAGTGCACTCTTAAAAAAAGTTTCACGATCGGTCAAAAAAACTGAAACCTGTTATAATAATTTTCTTAGAATAACCCAAAAAAAATTTTAAAT